GCATAAACTTTTTTAGGTACTTAACTACTTACTCACCTTGCATTGTTTATATTTTCACGCAGAATATCCATCCGCTAGTAAAGATCCGGAAGTGTGCAGTTGATTGAGCACCTGATTAAAAAAAGAACGTTATTGTTGTAAAACAAAGCATGTGCTACCTATAGACTTATAAATACCTACGAATTTATTTAAACTGTAATGAAAAAGTTAGTGCACGACTATTGGAAGTCCTGTTAGTACATCCCGTTTCTAATGGTATAAGACCTGATGAAGACAATACCAATTCCTTATAATACAACATATTTTGGGTGTACAACTGTTTGTTCAACTAAACTTTTTTATGAATCTGAATGACCTTTTCGGATTCACAAATTAGCAGTAAGTAGCAATTTTTCCCATTCTTGTTTGATCGCAAACAAAACGATTGGTGATGCATCAATGCATGGTACGAGATAAACAGTTTTGTTAATGACCACGTTATGTAATTAGCCTTCTTTCTCAACCTATTGTTTGAGTGTCATTCGCTCCTGTTATTACTTTACAAAAAACAAACGCGTTTTTGCCTATGTATTTAATTTGTAGCAGTTGTAACCTGTGAGAAAGCAGAACTTCAAGATAAAACAAAGAACGCTTTTGAAAATATCCGTACAAAAATCTTGTTTCCTACAAGTTAACAAAATTAGACGACTGCATGAAACACTTTCAGTTTCCAATCGTTGAAAGTTTTAAATACCTACTGTCTGAAGTTTTTTTCATGTTTCTACAATTCTTAATAAATTTATATACAGTAACGTAGCCACTTTGGAAGGAATTTTTAACACATAGTAGGTAAAGAAATGGAACGGTAGTTTAATGATGATGATTATATGCCGCGGTCCCTACGCTAAAGCCCCGCACTAATGGGTGCCATTTGCATCTAGGGCTTTTTATTAAAAGCTCACTGTAATTTATTGATTGACAATAAGGTGAAATTGCAACCAGAAAACTGTGTCATAAACAATATAAAAATAAAGTTACTTACGCCGTCGACTAGCTCAATCGGTTCACTATTCGCCTCACCTGTCTTTAATCCCCTCTAATTCTAATTCTCTAATTTTACCTAAGTTTCAACAACTTTATGAATTATAATCTCTCATTTACAGTTTAATAATAGGTCAAAAATGTCCATTACCTCATCATAAATCATATAACAAATTTTTAAAACGAACTTTTCCTGGTTGATTCTTCCTGCATGTGGCAACCTGGAGTTATTACAGCTACGAAGGTAGTTCGACACTCTGGGGAAGCTATCATGTGATTTCTGTGATGCATTATGAAAAACCCGACAGCATGAATAAAGCCAGTAGCAGTTCTTGGATTGAGACATTTTTTATGATTATCGGTTAAATTGCACACTTCGATTGTTGAATTTCCGTATGGTCAGTACAAATTTTGGGGACGTTTAAGGGGCTTGTTCTTGAAATGTTTAGTTTATATTTTGGAAATTCCTTTCGTAAACTTTTTCACTCTAACGACTTTTAACTTTAGCGGCACAAAATGAACGTAAATATCTTATTTTGCCGACAGTTTTCTTTATCGCAATTTCACGTTATAGGGGATATTAAAGTAGCTTCCTTTATAATTTGTGGCACTGAGTAGAGCGTGGTAAAATGTTTGTGGAATGTGTGCTGAATGATGAGCGTTGATTATAAATCTGGGCAGTGTCTTATCTAACTGATTTACGCTTACGAGTTTTTAACCTTCTACGCGGTGATGTGAAAATATTACTTAACGTAATGTTGTATTACGTTAAAATTTAACGAATTGGATTCAGTTATAACAATAATTAATATTGATCACACACAATCCATAACATAACGGGAGCTCAATTCTTCATTTCGCATAGATGTTAGAACTAACCCGAAACACAATTCCATTTGCTTAAATAACAAAGGCCAATATTTCTAGAATGTTCACTGAGTGCTCGTGATCGCTTCAGAACGTTCTAGGACAAACACTGCATATTTCCCGGAAAAAATGCATCACACCCACCTCAGTTTGTTATTGCCGATGTCTCATGGCGCTCGATGTCTATTGGGATTTCTAAAATTTTCGTTGCATGATGTTTTGTTGACTGGCAAATTATGACAAAAAAACTAAAAGGACACATTATAATAAGAAAGCTATAAGCAATATAAGAACAAATCTTACCTTCAGTAATACAATATGCGGACGTCGGAAGTGAGCTCAATTCCAACGTACTCTCCGGAAAAGCTAGAACAAATCAAAATTCAGAGATTACAAGAATTACACATCATATACTGCAGCTGGAAAGTTAATTACATAGAATTACATAGGTATCTACTTCAAGAGGCATATTGGTAAACCATTTACATATAACGATAAAAGTTTACGGAAGTTGTCGTTGTTTCGGTTCTTCAGAACAATGAAGGTACCGCAACAATTTGCAATAGATCGATTCGAGTTCAGCAGTATTCCTAAAAGAATGCCACCTGTACCACGTGGAAAACAAAATGGCCGTACTCACCTCATCAATGAAAAACCGCATCAAGCCTCCGGCACTCGGAGCAAATTGCCGAAAACCCGTCCAACTAAATCGGAATCCGCAAAAACATGTGTTCAATCGCCAAAGTCATGGTAATTGAATGGTGCAAGTAGAACCACATAGTGGGGCTTCATTCGACCTTAAAGCGTGCTTGCTCGCTGTAGAATAAATCAATTCCCGAAAAGAAAGTAAGAGTATAAAATGTGACTGAGACCAGAGGCCTGCGCGAAAATCCCACCAACCGATGGTCCCAATAAATGTAACGACATTTAAAATTTAACTCTGCCAGGTAATACCAAACAATAATGTTATGGTGACTATAAAGCAATGGGAATATTTGAGTAAGGTGAAAATAAACTGTTACACGTTATAATTGAGAGATTATATAGGTATCGGTTTTTCATGTTACCGTTAACCCTATCTATTTTCGGTGGAAGCAAATGTATATTTATATAGAAATGCGTTTGAGTAGCACCTGAAAATCCGGCCCCCAAAAGTTGAGTAAAATATTCAGGGTAATTTTGTACTCGTACATTGATTTTGAGTTTTAAAGGATGATAGATGAAACACTTTCATTAGTAACAATAAAACTATCGATTTTTTTAAATTTTGGAACTGAGAAATAGGTAGGTATATTTTTCTTATGAAATGAACCTCTGACTAGCGCTCCTTAATCATTATAAACCTAAAATAAAATTTGTGATAACCAAGGCAAGGAATAATATGCACTTCAACATGTAGAAATATGCGCATATATATGCACAAAAATAGTGATAATTATGCACCAAATATGCATGATGTTCTTTTAAAATGCACAATTCTTCCACAAATTTTGGTATTTAAAACAACAGGTTGCAACAACTTCATACCATATTTTTCCAAAAAAATGCACAAAATATAACCAAAAACTAATTAATTTCAACTTACACTAAATAACTCTTAATCTTTATTTTTTAAGGAACTAAACCAATGTATAATTAAATGTTTTTCGCAAAAGTTTCTTGCTTTGCAATTTTATGATAGGCCAGAGACAAAAATTCTTTAGAAATAACTACACAGGGATCAAAAATGCTTGAATATGCTCTTGATAATATTTTATGCACAAGGGCACTGAAATATGCAAAATATGCAAAAATTAATTGGGTTATTTGAACTCTATTCAAGTTGATCAGCCCAGATCCAAAAGCACACAAATGGCATATTATTAATTTAAAACATGCATTTGCATAAAATCACTGCCTTGGTGATAACTAAAGACGAAAGAAGCTATTTAATTTCAAAAAAGTTTATATGAGCATGTGTTAAATAGTGTACAAGGAGAGTCTAACAATGGATCCGAATAAACACACAATTAATTTATTGACAATGACAAAATTTATTCTTATCTGAAACACATTAAATGGAAATAAAAACAACATTTCTGAAATAAAGAGAAGCTTACAAAGCTTGATTTCACATACCCCGTGCGCCGACGGTCGATAATTAAAAATAAGAAAACCTTAAAATTACTTAGTTTGTTTATTTTTTTAATAATCCTAAAATCTGGCCATTAAGCGGTTTGCGATTAACTGGCGCACTTAACTCTACACAAACGCAGACAGCTTTAGGAAACTGTTCGTTCACACAAAAATCTTGATGATAAACACACTTTAAACTTCTCACAGAAATATTATGAAAAAAAACGAACTGCGTCTTCAATCAATCAACTCGAGCGGTCAGCCCGAATAACAACGTAAAGACACGTACACTCTTTTCCAACAGTCGCAAACCAGCTAGCTCCTTTCTTCATTGTAGTATATAACGAAACACTACCTCTACCAAACAAAAAACTCCTTCTTCCACTAATTGGAAAATAATGCGCCAATTACAATAAGCCTAGAAAATAGACGCTGCGAAGGAACACGTCCCCATTTGCGCCGATAATAATGCGCAAAACGTTGTCCACGTGCATCTCTTATTATCAGCACCAAAACACGTGAGTTAACTAAATTACGTCAGAAATCACTCCTTATCGCAAAACAACCAGATAAAAGCCTTTCATAATGCACGCAAATTGACCCGATGTTTCTACATTTTATTTATTATTAATAAATAAATAGATTTAAATAAACAATACACAATTACTAAAAGTCTAAAAGAAAAAATAAATCCTACAACAATACAAATTAACAATAACCATACAAATTTAGGTACGCCGGCCCGTGTGTTCAATTGATGCTGCACTGCGGTACTAAGGGTCTCTGGTTCGAATCCGGATTCGGGCATGCATATTTGTAAATGTACAGCGGGTTGGGTTGGTAGAGCAGCCTTGGCTGAAACCCCGCCCACTCACAAGTTCACAACATTAGGTACATAAGAAATAAGTGTGTGTTTTTGTTTGAATAAATATCAATAAATTCGTTTAATGTTTTTAAGTCATAAAGTTGTGCATTATTAATTTTTTTCTCTATTTCAGGTGGAAGATCGCCTGGGCCATACTATTATTATCAGTAATTAGGAGGGTAGGTATTTTTTTAATTTCATACAGAATATTAGTCATTACTTTATCAGACGTTGGCCGAAATCATTGCTCAAGTCTGGTAGTTTGTGTATTTTTTTAATATGCACTTCGCGGCTTATTGTTGATACAAATATGAAAACAATGTCTTATGGTGGGTTTATAGTTCAGTATAATTTTATATCACTGAGAATCAGCGAATAGAAACAAAGGTATGGTTTCGTTGGTTAGCGACGCACAATAAACCTTTGTTTCTATTGGCTATTTATTAATGATCTAATGACAGTGAACTAACGATCGTGATTGTATAAACCCACCATTATACTGATTTGTTAACTCATAATAGCAGAATCAAAATAAAACCGTTTTTACTACAAAATAAATCACAAAAAAGACAAGCTAATAGTAAAATAATGGGATTAAAAAATAAGAATGGAAAAACGTAAATAATAAAGATGGAAGCAATCTAAACAATTATTAATAAGCGAGGGTTATACGCGAGAAAATCACCAAGGCGCGTACACATACATACAAACAATAATCAAGAATAAAAAATATTGAAATACGCCTGGTATTGACAACCTTAGCAGCCCCTAAGGTCCCGGGTGACATCCAACATCAACAACCAGCATTAGTTTTGCAAAATGTATAAATGCTAAATAATATATAAAACTAAAAAAATTCTGCGTCGGCCGGGAATCGAACCCGAGCCGCCCTCCTAGCAGCTACAACGATTAGGATTAGACGAACGACGACGACGGCTAGCATCTTAATAGATATGGATGTATGTAATTTAATTTTTAAAAAAGACGTGGAATGCACAAGAGATGCCAGAAGAGTGGAGGAAAATTGAAAAGTGAAAATACAAAAGAGAAAGGATCAACTAGTCACTAGTGGCTTACAGTATTTCCTTGGCGAAATAAAAAAAAACATTATGCGATAGTTAAAAATATGGTTAAGGATCATAAATATGATACCTAAGGAGTTCAACGCAAAATTAAACAAATGACAGAAAAACCATATGGATATGGATGTTGAAGATAAACCATTCAATGATTTTAAACAGGCCTTTCACAGGAAAAGTAAAATTCATCCAAATGTTAATTTGTGAAATGTGTGCTTTATGAATTGGTGAAATTTAATTTGAATTTTTGAACATCAGAAAGGAAATACTCACGATCCTATCCAAAGACATGCAATCCTTCCTGGTGCATCTTATGGTTATCGAAAGGAACGCAGTTTTGTGGACTTTTTTAAGGGTAGCTTCCAAACCAAACATTTGCAACCCCCAGTTGATTTGCAAAAAAAATTGTTTTGGTGCCTTCAATCCCCCGATTTTTGTTTTGGCACAACTGAAATGTAACACCCCGTATATGCTGCGAATATTGACAAATTAAGGACGACTTGGGTATTGAACAAAAGAATATGGAATGGAAAGCATGCAAAGATATAAGAAGGAGAAAAAATCATGAAAGCGAGGGATAACTAAATGGCGAAGGTGTAAGAAAGTGTAGCATGTTGAGAATTCATTGATTTGAATCATGCTGGGTGGTCAGGACTAGAAGTCAAAATGAAAACTATAATCGAATAATCGATACCAAGTAAAAGAAGAGCACAATTATATATGAGAGTTGAGAAAGGTACTTATGCTGAATTTAGGTACAACGGATTGAATAGGCAGAAGTTGTCAGTTTAACTGACAAAATTCAGAAATTCGATCATGTTATCTAATATCAGTCGGATCAAAGATCGAGTTTGTGAATACTTGTTGGCTTAATGCGCTACAAGAAATAATGCCTGTCTGAAAATTATATGTAATTTCTACTTTGCTTACCGTTGTGGCGTTTTTTTTACAGTTCATGTCCTTCGTTTCAGGTTAGCAATACGCAATCATCATCAGAAAGTACCACAGAAATCGAATATAGTATAAGTAGCAGTACAAGTATTGGAATAGGAGCAAATAAAATAGTAACAGAATCGTCTGGTGCTGGTGAACGGACGTTACGGCCGACAAATCACTCGAGGGAAGCTTTAGCACATTCGGCCAGCGAACACGAATCGGTGAGTTCATTTAATAATCATGTGACATTATGTAAACTAATGAATGTAATCATGCACATGCTACTAAAGACGAAAGAGATGTACTCGTACATTTCTTACACTTTTATTAATCTCTTGTAAGTATATATTTGGATTTATTAAATAGAAAAGGATTATGTATTCCACAGACCGTAAAATCAAGCATTTGTCTTAATTCTTTATGTCACGTAGTCGCTCTAATTTTTTCAAATTGTTTAAAACTGTACAATCTCACTTTACAAGCTAGCTATTTGAAGTTTATCGATAAGCTCAAATCAGGTGAAATGAATAATATTCAAACAGTTAATCGAAGCAAATCAACACATCATTTGAACAGAAATTAATGATAAAAAACAAATTAACAATATCTTTGGTTTGGGTTTCAGTTACCATTCATGAAAAATACACATTTGTTCATGAGATAATCTCCCGTGGGTCGACATCTTCAGCAACGTTAAAATGACTAAACATAAATGATTAATTTTTTATGCAAAAGATCATATGGTTACACAATGCAAAAATTCAAAATATCTTTCATTTATCGATGAGTCCAAATTTTCTCCAATCAACAGTTGATTTTCTCCTTTGGAAGGGTAGCAAAAATTTGGAACATTGGATAAACGCTTTTTACAATACAATCAGACCTTTTGTATCCATAGGTAAAATTTGGTTACTCGTTAAAATTGAATTTCGGAAGATGGTTGAAGAATTTGAATTATGAATAAACTGAGCTTCCGGTTTCAATTAGTTGGAATTTGGTTTATTGGTATTGTCCAAAATTACCTTTATAACTTAGGATTTTGACAACCAACAAAAGCACTAATTAATTGTCTTGAACCTTTTTACCGGTTGCCGTTTAATGTATATCGACTAACACCTCGAATACACAAGAGAGGTGCACAGTTTTGATTGACAAACTTGTTTTTTAATCGTCTAACTGCTCCAAATATATCCACAACGAACATTTTGCACCTTGGACCTCAACGCTTTCGTGGTAATAATTTATTTAAATGAGAGCACGTTAATCCGAAAATACTGTGAAACAAATTTGTTCGCCTGCGCTTTAAGAGGTAACACTATGCACCATTCCAAGTTGAAAATTATATCAGCGGGTCGGTCGACTCCGCTACGTAATTAATGCAGTTCGTCTTTTTGCATACACCAGCCACTTTATTAACTTACTTGTAATGGCAACTCGTCACAGCACCCCCGACAATAATTTCGTCAAAATTTCCGGTTGCGCGGCTAACGATTCTTTAATATATTGCGGTTGTACGACTTTCGGTTCGAACTTTCAATTGAAAACTCAAGCGATCTAAAAAATGGCGCACACATGATTCACCTTGAAAGCTTGGCGAAGAATTTCGTGCTACGCGATCGCCGCGCTTCCGTTACGTAGGTTTGTCTCGAACGTTTGGCTAAGAATCCAATACGCGACCGAAAAATGCAGCACTTGATATGCATAGATTCGCTTCTAGTTTGGCTAAGAATGCCCGTCTCCCACCCAGTTTTTGCCAATCTCGAATGATGAATCGACGTTTCGACTCTTATCTGATTGACCACTACGTCTTGATCTTAGCCATAGACCGAGACACTCATAACTCGCTTTAATTTCTCGAACATTGGTTCCCTTCTTTGTCTTTATGAAGTGGTACCCGTATAAAATTTTCTATACCGGCAAATTTGTAAATTTAACCAAAAAAATCTTTAAAGCCTAAAGCGAGCACCTATTACAAAGGTCAGTTCGACAGTGCCCTAGACACACATACTGAATCCCGTCACTGAATCGTTCACTTCTGTGAAGAAGTCGGAGAAAAAGATATGCTATTGAATACGAGCTGTATTTCCGAGTGCGAGCTGAGTGTCCAAAAATTCCCCGACTGAAAATTGTATGCGACTCTTCGTATCTTATTTCCATTTTCCTTAAAAAAGAAGCTACACGTACCAAAGAACGCTGACCTTACCCTAGGGGACTTTTCCACTACCATGCAATCTCTGGACCTCGACGACATTTCCAAATAATGCGAGCGAAAAAGGTGTGAGTTTTTGTATTTTGTTGTCACTTTACAGTGGTGTGTAAAGAATTTCAAGTAGAAAATTAAGCTATTTTTTATTTGTCTTTAACGAATCTTAACTGGGGAAAGTTTTTAGTTTTTGAATTTTTTGGATTATTTATCATTATCAGATTCAAGGTTCAGTTTATGAAAGCCACAGGTAATCAAACGGAGCATACCGCGACTCGAGGGAACGGGCGGTCGTGCACTGGTGAATAATCTAAAACAGAATTACGGCACAAGGAGTGGTCTCGATTTCTCAAAGCTGGAACGGAAGCACAACCTAACTGTCAGTATCTAGCAGGAAACAAAACAAAGGAAAGCAAACACCCTTTAGAGACGAAAGCCAGAACGGAAGATCCCCTAAATCATGCCGTTGCCTATATAGAATTCCCAAAATACGGACACAAAACATCGGAATTTCCAACCAGTCTGCGTACTCGGATTATAACGTCTAAAACTTAAAACTTCTTTAATTAATTACTCGATCCCCTGTTATCCTAAAGATCTCGATCCAGCCTAAAAATTCGCGCTAACTAAGCGCGCTTTATTTGACGCTAGACACAATCTCATCAGACGAGGTTTGCTGCAACACAATTATTCAACTACCGTTACTTATACTCAACTAAATGATCGGGGTGAAATTCCGAAATTCGGTAGTTCGGCGACATGTCATCTTTATCAGGTTTATCTATGTAGGCGAGCGATGTTGCCGATTTCTATCAAATTAACATAGGCAAACTGAAATCGACTAATTTCTAATTACCGGAGTTTAAATCCTAAAACCCTACTTCCCCGTGTCGAGGGCTGTCGGATGCTACAAAAATAATTTAGATATCTCTACGGGAACAATTAGAAACTTCACAATTATGTTAAGCAACTAGTTTTCCTATATTAGAACCTTAGAAGAGGTTCGAAACTACAATTTCTCGTACAGAAGCGCGAAAAAGTACCGGGTGTTCATTAAAGCTGGTAGCTTCCATCAATGTACGGTGCGTTCATTAATTTTGGTGTAATTCCTGTACTAAAAGTGGAAAATGGGAGCTTCGTTACAGAAGAAAATGTTATTAAATACTGTGTCAAATTTTGGGCCAGGAAGGGTAATAAAAATCAATTACGTTACTCTGATATGTTATTACTTTAACTGTTAGCATTGATAAAGTGCTTATTCAATGGTCTTAGGCAATTATTGACAGTTAATAAAATGAGGAAGTTATTTCATTAGAAAATACGAAAGACTTTCCTAAGAAGACTAAAAATTAGTGCAGTCCACGTTCGGCATTTAACTGCTCAATTTATAAATATTACAGGTGGTTTTAGCGTCACCAAATTTTGATAGCAAACCTCAGAATTGCATTGAGGACTCAAGGAAAACAGCGAGTAAGATGATAGGAACCAAAAGTACCCTACATCTTTCCCGTGGAGAGTCATTTTGCGTGTCATCATTATTAGGTACAAAGCTAGAAAGGTGACCAGTCGATCTAGTTGCCGCTATTGCTTAAAATTGTTTCCAATTTGAAATGTAACATAATCGTGTATATGAGCCATCTTTAAATTGTTTTGTCGTGAAAGTGATTAACTACATAACAAAATTGAATATGATAGGATAGGACCAAATATAAAGCCACTTTCATAAGACACGATTTAATGCTACATCTGATTGTTGTTACCAATAGACTTTTTTTGCATTATCGTTGTGCACGGAAAAATATTATCATATACAAATTAGTTAACATACTTATTCGAATACCTACTTTAAAATTACTCCTAGCCTGTTGACACAAATACAACGCGGCCAAGCCATTATGAGTTATTATGCAAACAGAGCTGAACACAATTTACATAAAAACACATTGTGTATTACACGGTGAAGTTACTTCGAGAGTGAGATTAAATTTATCAATCATACTACCATTCATAAAACCGGAACTTGCATTGCGTACCTACATGTAAGACTAATACTTCACACTACAATACAATAAAAATTACATAACGAAACAAAATCTAAATGAGTAAATAAAAGTTTCACTTAAGGTGCAATTGTGTTTCTTTCACTGATAATTCGAATAAATCGTAAGTGATAAAAATATATCTAGTCGACTTGGGTTGCAGGTGCCGCGTATCGAAGCCTTCAGACCAGGTTGGTTTTATTATGTCGCTGATATCGTATCGTATCCTGCCGGACGAACTAAACACAGCAATACATATCGAATTCAGTTAATGAAAGCTATTACCTTGGAAAACGGCGAGAATTGAAGTTCTTCACTAACAGTGCCAACAATATTGTACCACTGTAACCTTACGATTGAGTGTTCTTGACTCGTTTTTAATATCTTACTCGGCGAATTTCATTAAATCACTCTAAATCTACTCAGTAAGTTACTCTACAATGGAATCTTATCGACTGACCTCCCGAGCGCTTTCTTTACAAGTATCTATTTCGTTTTTTCTTTATTACTTCGTGAAAACTATAATAAATCGGGCCCAAGCTTTTTACTCTGTTTGGTACGTATATTACTATAATAAAGCGCGTCTAACAAGTTTCGACCTCAAAATGTACGAAACGTCACGTTCAGATTTTTAAATCTAAAGTTGTGCTTATTTATTAATCATGGATCACTTCAGCACCTTTGCATCATTCAATAACTTCTACTTGAACACCCAGTTCTTAACAATCCTATCCTAGCCAGACAAAACATGCGATTTCAACGCTCTCAGCGTTCAAAACCTGATAAAAGAAACGTTAAAAATACAATGTGGTCTTCTATATGTACACATTTTCTTTAATTACAAAGTAGAAAGTAAACAATAATTAATTTTAAATTGAAATCACAATTAACGCCCGTTACAGTACCCCCTCCTGTTTTTGAGTCAACCGAACAGTTGAATAGAAAACAACATACTAGAAGTTTATAAGATACATTTATAAATAATCAGAATTATATCAAATCCTTAAACTCGTTGCGACTATTTTCCAACTGAACAGGCGCTTAAACTACAAAGAACAACATAACTAACCAAAAGCGAGATAAAACGGCTATACAAAAAATACAAACAAAAAAGCTCAAGCTGGAGGTGAAACATGTTTTAAACAAACCTTTTCCTACACTGCACTAATTCACATTTTTCATTTTGTTTATCAGGTAATCTTCATCGACAACGACACAGGCTACATACCTGTTCCTGCTTTAAGGCATCGTAACCTTCCCTCCCATGAAGAATTGGATTGGCAAAATCCCGTCGATTCTTGGGATAGAGAATATAGAAGGATTCGATGGAATAACACAAAAGTACAACGTAAGTATTTGATGAAATAAATGGGAATACTTACGTAATATTCTGTTAGTGTTATCTTCCCTAAGAATTAAATACAAAGTAATCATTTTAATTTATTTTACGAATTGAGTAACGAGTACCGTTTGCGATTATAATAAATGTTCCATCTGAGGTTGTAATTTTTGGGAAAGGGTATAATTAAGAGTTTTCTAGCTGATTTAAAGGATTAGAATTTAAGATTATAATGGATTTTTCAAAAAAATGAATGATTTTCTAGATCAAAGAGATAGTAGATTAGCTTCAAAGAAATGGAAAAGGGGTCCCTTAACTAAAACGCAGCTTTGGTACAGAGATATTATTTTTAAATTGATAGTACACGTTTATTAATAAACTTTTGTTTGCTGTGTTGCCAAAATTTGAAAAATTACATAAAAATAGAACGGACCGCTCAACAGACGTATAATGTACGTTAGCACTTCCACATAATGTGGAAAATATATGAAAGTAGTTTGTATTGTTATTTTGTTTTCCGATAACTAGATTTTTAACAAAAAGAAAAACTGTTCACGCAAATCAAATAAGTACTGACAAGAAATGCATACACCTAGAAGTGTATTAAACATCCACTAAGTACGATTGACATTTTGACACTTTAATGATACACCTTGTATATATTTACTACAGACAGTTTTACACCTGATTGTTTTCGATAATTTATAGAGGATCAAATTAATTAAACCTTTTTTTTAAATCTATGGGTCCTTTGGGACCTTTTGCCCTCGATTTGTTTGGTAAAAATATTTGTTTTGATCCCCTCTACTACTCAATTTTTTTCCATAGATAATTTTTAAACTATTTAGGCATGAATGTAAGTTACATTGATAACAGTTTTACAGTTCGCATTGAGGTTGTCGTTTTCATTGAGCAGCAACCAAGATATTCAGAAAAATCTAAAAATAATTTTGGTAAGCCTTTTTCCACTGGGCGATTCTGCAAACTTGAGCATTTACTACTTTACTAGTCATAAAACGGTGACGTGACGATGCAACATATACCTAAAAGAAGAGCTAAACTTGGTTTCTTGTTTGTTTATTGCTGCTATTCGGCAGTTATTGTGATTGTTCCCGAGGTTTTCGATTTGAATAATTATTTATATGAGCAATAGAAATGAAATGAAAGGTTCGTGATTTCGACGAAATTCACGCTTTAATTAAACCTTGGAACAGTTGCATCTCACGAAGAACTTATTAGATTTAACGCAATGTTGTGCAAGTAGGCATTTAGAGCGAAAAGGGAATTGCTCTTTAACTGTGCAAGTGCTATCACGATCGTTAAATTGCTATGAGTCTGCTAAAAGGATATTAAAATGAAAATAAAGCATGATTTTACGCGATCTCACATCGTACCACCAACTACATACCATATTTTGAGTATAACCGTTTGTGCTGTTCTGTAAGGTTGATTCAAGTTTCCTTTTGGACACGAAGACAATTTACAAGAACGCAGATCGAAACCGAATCTTATTTCTCAATTTTTATTCAACTTTGGAAAATGTAACGAAATATGTACCTACGCGAATGCGCGTTATTTCAACGAAATTTTATGGATCCTAATACATTAAGTAACTACCTACATGTTTAAGTCGGTACGAGGGTAGCGCCACACATACACGGTCGAACATATATAGATTCAGAGATCGCAATCACCCAAAACTTTCCCAATCAGGCCTTATTAAACCAAAGTCGACTAGCCCTCGAAGACGCGCGCCTTGCAAAAGGTGATTAATTTTCCCACTAGGAGAGAAACAAAATTCCGTCACGCAAGGGTTGTGCGCGTTTGGGAGATCTTTCCGTCGACACCAATTTGAAAACAATTGGACCAAAACTATAGAAGAAGATAGGGAAAGAAAACTGAAAAATCTCCAAGTTAGTATAACATGCTAGGGGATGGCGCCCAGATGTCGGCGACTGCCAGCATGTAGCCACTTCCCTAAAGTTGTTAATTGCAAAAAAATATGTAAAAATGCGCTAAAAATACGCCGAGATTGTTGTCTATCAAGATAGCCAAACGTACCTACGTTGGGAGTGATTGGGAAATGCACAAGGGGCGCCGCGCCGGTACGTATCCGTTACCCTGCCCCATTACTTCCAACGTACTTATAACTATCTTGATAGAAAACAATTTCGGCGTCTCGGTTACTTTGCAGCTTATGTGCAGCGGGCCTAAGGCGGAAGGCGATCGTCTCTCAATTGTAACGGTCGATGACGCGGGTTCGAATAAGAAGTGAGAGTGAAGCTTTTCACTTAAACGATAAGAAGTGGTCACTTCTGTCGGCACCCACAAAGTTCCACATTGTATTTTTAGTGCATTTTTGCAAATGTATATGTAAAAAGGTAGCTTTTAATCTCACTTTGGCTGACTGGCTGGCTGGCAGCAAATGCTAACTTGGAGATTTTTCAGTTTTTTCCTATCTTCTACAGTTTTGGTCCGATTGTCTTCAAACTGGTGTCGTCGGAAAGAACTTACGAAATTGCGAATTGCGCGTCGGAACTAGGTACCGACAAAGAGAAGGTAGTACCCCGCGACAAGATCTTACTGATTGTGAAATCAAAACCTCAAACTCGAATTGCGGGTGAACGGGACGTCGGAAGTGAGTACCTACCGACAAAGGAAATGTGGTAGCCCCCGACAAAATCTTACTGATGGTGGAGTCAAAACTGGCTAATAAAATACTGATCTGCCACACAAAAATGCGCTGAAGTCCCTTCGATCTCACACGATGACTTTGATAATTTTTAAAGCTCATTATCAATACCTTCTTCGAGGTTTTCATCATCATCAAAGTAGGTAGTTATTTCCATCATCAATTTTCGATTTGTACCCAGTCTGGTGTTAATTAAATATTTGTTAAATAATTCTTTGGAATTGTGGGAGTAATCAAGACTGCTGAGTTTCCCAATTAATAAAGTTAAGGCAGATGTTTTTCATTGCAGCAGATGCCTTGAAAATTTTTCTGGACAAGTGTTTATGTGGGTCAGTGGGTGGTTTAGTAACCGGTTGTGTCCTGCATCATATTCTAATGAAACAAAATATTGGGGAGAGGAGGACGTCAACGAATATCTTAAGAACGGTAAGTATATTATTGGTGATACAATATCTTGAAAAGTGAGTGTCGGAGGAAGGCACTCACAATAGGTAATTGGAACGGCTGGATAAGAATTATCTATTGGTAATGTCTAAATGAGTACCGGAGGAGGGTATTCACAAACAGCAAATGGAACGTCTCGTTTACTGTCTTTAGTTTCTTGGTTCCTTGGGCCATTCTGGTCCCTTTGGTGCTTTCCACTCCTTTGATTCCTTTGGTCTCCTTGGTTTATTTAGTCTCTTTAATCTCCTTGGTCTCCGATCCTTATATTGTCTATAAATTGGACGTGCTAAGGATATCTTCTTTAAAGGCATTTCAAAAGAATAACTAAAGGTAAGATTTCTATTTTGGGGATACAACAAGCATTTTCAGTCGCTTTTGTGTCTTTTATTCTCAGTGAAGTGTTTCTTTTCTTATCCCTTCAGTCTCATTTACATTTTGTAAGTTATTATCTTCCTTGTAATCTAGTTCTACTTCGGTTTCACTTTTTAGCGCATTTCCACAAAAATAAAAAAATGCGCTATTGTGGCCACTTTCTCCGTCCGTCCGTCCGGGCATTCGTTGGAACGCTACTTAAGAGCTATTGTTCTACTTTTTTCGCTATTTGGTTCGTTATGGTGTCGAGGTTTGCACCAAGGAAGGAATTTTTTCTGAGTTTATTGCTAAAAAAGTTATTGTAAAAAAACCAACAAAACCGTTTTTTACATATGTTCCATAATTTTACACTTTTGCCGTTTATTATTAACGATCCTAGAGATCGTTTATAATTTTGTATTGCTGTCTGTCATCCGTCTGTTGGTCTGATCGTCTGTTCCTTTGTCTGTCTGTCCCTCTATCTGTCCGTGTGCGATAACTTTGTTTAGAAATGTCCGATCGCTTTACATCTCCGTTAGTTATTAACTGAATTGCATGAAATTCAATATGGGCATAGCTTTAGCCATATAATACGCATATGATACATAGGCACTTGGAATAAAGGAAAATCAAACGCCAGTTTCAAAATTTGGTTTTGCGCATGCGCAGTGCCAACTTTTTAGCGCATTTTTGCAAATTTATTTGTAAAAAGTAGCTTTTAATCTCACTTTGGCTGGCTGGCTGGCTGGCTGTCGGCTGGCTGGCAGCAAATGTGGGCGCGTAGAAGAACTCTTGTAGAAAGGCAACGGGTGTACGTGTATCTACAAGGCCGTGTAATTTGTAAACCTTGGGGACAGGGCTACATGATGTGGGGTTGGCGACATCTGGGCGTCGTCCTCGAGCGTAGTATACTAACGTGAAGGTTTTTCAGTTTTTTCCTATCTTCTACTACAGTTTTGGTCCGATTCTTTTCAAATTGGTGTCGTCGGAAAGATGTTGTAAACGCGCACAACTCCTGCGTGGCGGAATTTTGTTTTTTGGCCTAGGGGCGAAATTAACGACCTTTTGCAAGGCGCGCGCGCGCGTCTTCGAGATGTAGTCAATTTCGGGCACCTTTTACCTTCCGTTGCGAATTCTGTCACGCGTTTTAACGTTTCGTAAATCTCGAATGGCTGTCTCTCTTTTTCGTGTCGCCATTAGAAGCTCGAGCAATGAGAAGTGTCCCCCAAAAATTAAGTACTATCTTGTGGAAGGTTTTTAGCGAGATCCACCAAAATGTGGGTGTAATATAAGTATGCACCGAAAAATGAAATGTGGTAGCCTCCGACAAGATCTAACTGATGGTGGAGAAAAATCTTCAAACGCGAATTGCGGGTAAACGGGACAAAAGTGGCTAATAGAATACTGATCTGCCACACAAAAATGCGCTGAAGTCCCTTCGATCTCACACGAGGACTTTGATAATTTTTTATTTATGGAAGAATTTAAACGAAATTTGATACATAGGCACTTGGTATATAGGAAAATCAAATGCCTGTTTGAAAATTTGGTTTTGTGCATGCGCAGTGCCAACTTTTTTGTTTATGGAAGCATTTAAATGAAATTTGATACATAGGCACTAGGAATAAAAGCAAATCTAACGCCAGTTTCAAAATTTGGTTTTGCGCATGCGCAGTGTCAACTTCCTTATTTATGAAAGCATTGAAATGAAATTCTTCTTATAAACTGAAATTGAAGTAGGACGTCAAAAATTGATTGCACCTATGCAACCCTATCTTTCATATTTGTGGCCGGATTTATACGATTTTAATAGAAGTTGCATCTTACAAATGGGAAATGAATGCAAGTGGAAATGCGCTTTTTGTAAATCGTTTACGATTACTCTTTTGCGTTCGTATTAGTTGTATTAGCATTCTTGGCCGTAACTTCATTGGTTCTTTTGACGTTTCTTGGTCATTATGCACCGTGATATATTTGTTTCAGATAGTTTCCAAACACTGTTTTAAGAGTCCGGTTTCTGGGTTTAACTGCCGAACCTTAATTTCTGGAGATAGAGTCTATATCTATAGTTTATATAATCAATCTCTTTACCTTGTTTAGCATCACAACTGCCTCGCTTTTTGACCTTTTAGTTTGGTTTTAGTCCCTGCTTGGTCTGGCTCAAGTTGCATTAACATTAAGCGTCGTTATCTCGAGAGCGCTGAGGGTCGGAAGTCCACTTCAGCACAATTTTACTCAAGATTGCTTTTAGGACCTTATCTTTTTGCATTAAATATAGTGTATCCTGTAGGTACATTATAATTGTACCATGCGGACTTTAAAAACATGAACAACTTTTGTATGCTAGGACCAACTTTCAAATTTCAAACTTTGTCTACGTCATCTCCAATAGTATACCCATTAAGGATTTATTTTCTACAATATTTTGGTTCTTCTTGGTCTTAACTTTGGCACAAGCATTTAAATTCAATGTTACATTTGGATATTTGTCTATGATTCTTGAGTAAGGAGGCCAACCTTCCCGTATTCAGCGGGACAGTCCCGTAATGGCAAAGGCAATCCCGCATTCGAAAAATTAACAAATATGTCGCGGAATTACACCAATGCGTCCCGCGAGTCCCGCTTTTCGCTTTTGTAGTAGTGTTACCCAAATTCATGTAAACGAGACAACGGCCAACGCCAACGAGCAAAGCGATTACTTGATTACTTGTAATGAATTTCATTCATTATTACTCACTAATGACAATGCCTTGAATGCCATCAGTTTTGAAAAAAAGTATTCATTTAAAATTAAAGATAATTAAATTAACGTTTTGTTTTTTAATACCTATAGCACTACATAATACCATGTGTTATATTATGATAATACTATGTATGCATGTTTCTTGTACGTTTTTTTTTTAATAATATAAATATTTTTTAACTTCGCGTGAGTTTTTAATTTGAAAATGGGGAAGCAAGTGGGGGGGGGGGGGTGCGCAGTGGTGTCCCGATTTTTTAACATGGAAAGTTGGTCACCTTATTCTTGAGGTGGATTATGGAAATTTCAAGATCTTCTCATATTAAGCAGACTATAAACTTCACGCGATAAAATTGTTAGAATTGTGGTTTTATTAAAATTGTATTTAAATATTTTGATCGCCATTTCTATTTCTACCCTTAAAACACAGGTACAATATACTATTCCGAAGTGTTAGGGTCGATTCTACAATGCAGGTAGGTATATATCCGAGAATAAGTTATACTATACCCACAGAAGTATATTAGTTCAGTGGCTATATCTAGAATAAACGTCGACGATTGGTTGATTACCATTGCATCAACCAATAGGAAACATGTCGCGATGGCAGTTATTCAAAGAGTATCTTACTCTGCATACAGGGTTAATTATAGACTGGGCCCTTAGTGAGTTAGGGGTAGTTAAAATTAAATAACAAAGATGTAAATATTGTGTAGGTAGGTACTACCAGTACATTTTATACAAGAAAGATGAAGGACTGAAATTAGGTGTAGGTATATCCGTTATTACGCAAAAAAAAGCTTCCGGTCACTAACTTCGATACCATCTGAAAGTGATCACGTAAATCTTAAGGTAATAAATTTGCATCTAACCTACTTTTGAACCATACAAACTTACGTGAATATTACAACAATAACAATGATGAACCTTAATGGTTGAGTTTACATTTGTTTATATCTTTTCAGATATCGAAGCGGAATGTCAAGATGATTACATGAAAATTAGAGTCGGATTTAATGGCACCTTCACGGGACTAGTCTATTCTGCAGGTAAGAAATAAATTCTAAATATTCACTGCCGCCCCATTCGGGGGTTCGGTGGAACTTCCTGAAAATTCAATTGTAAAAAGATACTTACGACCAACTGTGATATTTCAGTAGGTGAGTATATCAGATCTATAACTAAACTCAATTCAGTCTGGCATTAAATCTAAAACGCTTTTTGATGACGAAATATAGGTTAGTAAGTCTGTGCATGGTTCGAAAACTAGAAAATTATTTAATGAGGAGTAAAACCAAACGCAACACATTTTTTAGTTTAGGTGGATACGCCGGTGGCGTTACGTTTAGAGACATTGTTAATTATTTTTTAAAGAGAGATAATTTTTTCCATTTCATATATTACTTACGATTTAATGACCGTTAAATAACGCAGAAGTGGATTACGAAGTAAATATTTCGTTCCTTCTCTTGTTTTATGAAGATTTAGGTATTAAGTAATGATTTGAATCTGTGTTTACAGTAAGTTGCATAATAGGGTAGGTGGCGCACCTTTGGAAAGGTTTTAATGCCCACGATCAGTTCATTTCCAAAATATTCCTAATTAAAAATTAAACAAAAGGTACACAACCGCATTAGAGGTGTCGTTTGTAACATCCACGAAGTGAACTTTTGACAAATGAGAGGCATTACATTATCATAGAAAATTTGCAGGGTGTCGAAATTTAGAGGGCCTATTTTCCAATAAATTATTTAGTAGTGGAATTGTAAAAATTAAATAAGCGATCATTCTGTGGAATAGAAGATTGTCCTTTTTTGCGTCGTTTAATTTCTGTAAAGCGTTGTGTTATTAATGGATTCCGGATGTCTGGAGACGAGATGTCGGAGATTTGGATCATATTCAGTTGTCTTAATTGGTTACAACTTTAATAACCAAAATTTATTGTTGAAAACTTATTATTGAAAATAAGCATGATATATTAATATTATACATTGTGGGAAGGCTCGTAAAACAATAAATCTTTTAAAACCATGGTACCTAAACTGTAACTTCCATTTAAAAAAATCAACTTTGAGTCACAACGCAGTTACTAGAATGACTAGAAAAAGCTCCACAAAGTTTGTTAATGATTTTGCACTTTCTGTCCGTCTCTCCGTTCTTCTATCTGTGTGTATAATAACTCACTATCGGTTTCAAATTTCCCCCAGTAATAGCATTTACTAATACCCCCCTATTATAGTCAATGGTAATAGGTAGGCAATGGTCAAGGGACTAACTGATTAAATTTTGGTTATTTTGACTTCTTGACCGTACGTCTGTGTTTGTCGCTCTATATTGGTTTGAACAGTTTATTTATTATTAATTAAAACGGTTTGAGGAACCGAATGGCAACCGGTCCCCACTCATGGGGTGGGCCCCATGAGCACGTGCCATGGATAAACATCTAGGTGCCCGCGTTTTCAGAGGTCCTGCATTACTGCAAGATTACTGAGTGAGAGCACGTCGCGAGATTCTCTTCCCCTTCCACTCAGCCGCCTGATTTGTAGATTTTATGGACTTACGCTGGGCCAGATAAGCAGTAGACAGTGCTATTTATTAAGAAGTAGACATACTGATTTACGTATATTATTTTTTTCTATATTTACTTTTAAATGACAAAATCTCTTCTAAAGGGCGCCTAATTTTATGCAACTAAAATAACTTCTTGAAACAAATAAAGATCTGGCTGTCATATTAATTAATTTGAATATTGTCGTTCTGGCTGCCGTACTTTTAGTTTCCTTCGCGTGCGATGTATTCAACTGGTATAGTGCCGGTAACAGTTTAAAAATCGTAAGAGATTTATTTTCTGTGAAGCCACAGCAACAATATTCAAATTAATTAATATGACAACCAGATCTTTATTTATTTTAAGAAGTTATTTTAGATGCATAAAATTAGGCGCTCTTCAGAAGAAATTTTGTCATTTAAAAGTAGACATAGGGAAAAACAATCCCTAAATCTACTATCTACTTCTTAATAAATATCACTGTATACTTATTTCGCGACAGTGATTAAAGACCTTGGCGCCCTACTGTTCCAAAACACATTCGTTAGCATTCTCTGTTAGTAAACTTTTAGTTTAAAATTGCGCGTGGAGACTGGAGATATATGAATTCCTCGAGTCGGGGATAATATCACAGATGATTAAATCTGTGCTAATATGCAGACTAAAAACAAAAACAAAAAATTCTAAAAATTAATTATATACTTATTTATATACATAATTATTGCTTATTAAAATATTTTGTGCCTGATTATATTGTTACAATTATATTTCTTTTCAGGATACGCATACGATCCAGATTGCATGTACATAAATGGTACCGGAAGAGATTACTACGAGTTTTACATACAACTAAACAGATGTGGAACATTGGGAAAAAATGGGCACAATGAAGACAATCGTCAACTGCCGTCGGTAATATTTCTTACTATTTTTCCCAACAGAATCGCGGGAAGCATGAAACTTCCTACGTGAAGTTTTCAAAATCATTCACCTCACGAAATTTAAACTAATATAATAACAAGATACGAAGAGAATCGCATACGATTTTCATTAGGGGAATTTTTGCCACTCAGTTCGTATTCGGAATCCAGACTTTTAATCCGGCTCATATATTCAATAGCACTGATCCTTGAACTCGTAGAAATCGATTGGCGAAGGTTTGACATCCCTGTGCCTTTTCGTTCTCGGGTTAGACGAGGAACAGACGGGCAAACCATCACATAAGGGGAATTTCTTTCTTTCGAAAAATTTCCATAAAACTCCTCGTTCTCGCACCAAACATTTTGGTGTGAAAACTGGGTGTGATTCTTTAACAGAGAGGGAGAAATAATGAAATGCGCAATGGATATTGTAAGGTATTTGTTGATGCGAATAAAATTGACATCAAAACCAAAAAAGAATAAAATTGATGGATTTATTGTCATGGCAAGGTAATTGCAGAATAATTAAGTAGGCAGAGGCATTTTTCTGCTGTATGCTGTATTTAGTTACCTTTCCTAAAATAGAAAAACACATGGATGGCTCTTTATTAAATTATTTATCCTTTCTTTTAAAACAAACTATGTGTACAAAAAAATGCTAATGTGCACTTGAATACATGGTGTAACGAGACAAATCTTCACAGCCCGGGTAGCTCAGTCGGTAGAGCATTGGACTTTTAATCCAAGGGTCCAGGGTTCAAGTCCCTGCTCGGGCGAACTTTTTTATGTTTTTTTTTACTTCCTCTATTATTTTACCAAAATATGTGTAATCATACAGTAATAGGCAATCGCGAAATATGAAACTGGAAGCTAAATTGATGTAATTGTGATTATAATTGTTGCGATATTCCGAACTAATTTCATTTTCGTGAATTACGTATCCGCTTTTATAATCAGCTGAATAATTTCCATGCGAAAATGCATAAGAGAATATTTAACAAGATTCGCGAACATGCCCGTCATTTTTAATATACAGGGTGTTACATATAAGTATGTAAAAAAATTTGGGTGGTAGAGGAGATCAAAACAAACACTTTTTCCAAATAAACCGATGGTCCAACGTGTTTGGTTTGGGACCCACCCCCACAAAAGTGGTTTGCATTCCTTCTTGAATTTTTTTCTCATCAACCATAAGAATTAGAAAGACTGGTGGCACGTCTTTGAATAGGTTTTCTGGTATGCCCTTTCTGATTTAGCAAAACTTTTTTCAAAATTCTTACCACGAAAGGGCGCACCCCTAAATGAATGTGCGAAAAAAATTCTGATTTCGACGAGATTTGGTAGCGGGGGTTTTTGAGCATGAAAATCACAAATATGAAATTATTTTTTGAAAATTCGAAAAAAAAAATTCCACTGCGTTCACACTTTTGTCGAACAGTTTTTTAAAATCGCTTTTCAAACAAAATTATACTCAGAGCCGGTCTTTAGCAAATGCGAGGCCTGGAGCGAAACATTTTTGCGGGGCGTTTTTTAACGATGATTGTTGGGGGGGGGTCGATGTTTATTTACATTCTTTTGTTCGCGAGTCGTGAGTCATACGTCGTATGTCGTACGAATGAGAGTTTTGTTCGTAGGATTTTTAATTCATCAATAATTGAACATATTAGGCGGGTAATCAGACAGATATTTTAGGTATGTACGTATATCTGTACATTATTTTATTATATTATTTTCATTCAACCAAAACATTTACTTATTTTTTAGCGAGGCCTGGAACGGCCGCTCCACTACCTCCACCCTAAACGACTCTGGTTATACTCATTTGAATATTGGGCCTTCGGGTTACAAAGTGTCCCCCGCCTACTAGTGAGTGATCTAATTTCGCATGTAGTTGATTGAAAATGTCGCAAATAACAAAAACAATAACGATTTAAGTTGATATTATGATACTTGCAATATAATGCTTATTGATTGTAATGGAACTCTACTTAATAAGCATTTTCCCACCACCCGCAACCACGGAATGTTTTGAATCGAATTTTCAGACTTGAATACCATGATCAACAAATGGAATTTTTTGTGATATCATTTATTCATAATATCGTTTTAAAACGTTATTTTTGATCCCCTCTACCACCCATTTTTTTTTACATACGTCTATGTAACGCCCTGCTCAAAGCTCACTAATCTAAACTATTCAATGTCTAAACTAAGGCCGTAGGTACCGTATATGACACTTTACGTTTTCTTAGGTACTTATATCGTTTCTTGTGTCATTTCTGACAGTAGAAAAAAGGTTACAGTGTCATACACATTACGCACTAACTTAGTTAATTAATTTCTTATAGTACGCCGTTTTAACAATTACTGTGCAAAAAAATTATAATCTTAAAATAAAATTTGTCACAACTTCTACTATATTAAATATTAATGATAAAACCATTCCCTCTTTTTCCACCAATCAAAAAACTTCCCCCACTCTAATTCAAACATAAAGAACAAAAAAATCGAATTATCAGATAAAGAAAGAAAATAATTTGAAGGATCTCAAATACAAAAAAAAACTGAAAAACTGGAAACATACGGAGAAACAGAAAAAATAGAATAATCTGTAGATTTGCGAGAAACGCAAAATCTACTGTCCCAAAATCCAAGCAATGCTAACTTCAGAACCGGTAGAGTCCGAAGAAAAAGCAAATTTCGAGATATTCGGGAACGTAGGTATATCTCCCAAACGAAACATTTTGGGTTCTTGGTTTGTTTAGAAAATGGTGCTTATTTTGATGGAATGTACCTAATTAATGTATATCTACTGAATATACTCAAATTTCGCGATTGTACATAACATATATACTTTTTTTTTCAGAAAAATTTCATGTGGAATACAGTAACCGTTCAGTACAATCCCTTAATAGAAGAGGAATTCGATGAACATTTTAAAGTAACTTGCGAATACGGTTACGATTTTTGGAAAACTGTAACCTTTCCATTTTTAGACGTAGAGTAAGTCACCCCAACAATACCAGCCAAAAATACTAACCGAATTATTTTAGAGTGGCAACAGGCAATCCCGTAGTTTTTACTTTGACACCTCCTGAGTGTTACATGGAAATTAGGTACGGGTATGGAACAAATGGTAATCGTGTCACCGGCCCAGTTCGTGTTGGCGATCCGCTTACTCTAATAATTTACATGCGAAGTAAATACGGTAACTAATTGAAAAAAATTCTAATCTTCCAAACTTTGAATAAAATCATTTTTAGATGGATTTGATATTGTTGTTAATGACTGTTACGCTCACAATGGTGCCACTAAAAAGATCCAACTCATTGATGAATATGGGTAAGTTTTTCAAAACTTTTCAGGCAGCTATACACATTTTTCTTCAGATGTCCAGTTGATGACAAACTCATCTCAAGGTTCAGAGGATCTTGGTCAGACACAGGCATATTTGAAACGCAGGTTTTTGCCTACATGAAAACATTTAGGTTTACCGGTTCACCAGCTTTATACATAGAATGTGACGTTCGTATGTGCCACGGTCGTTGCCCGGTAAACATGGCGGCATTATCTCGTCGTCCCTTCAATTTATCTGTTTTTAGAGTCAACCCTGTCATTGGAGAAACCTCAACAAGAGTGTAAGTAAAAGATCAATCGATGACATCAATACTACAACCACGCCATCTTTATCGGAAAATGTCAATTTGTTCCAATCTTTGCGTGTTTTGCAAGAGGGAGAAAGCGAAAATGATCACGATTTACTGAAGGAAACATGTAATGATTTCGCCACTCTTCGCCGACGTATATTAAAACCATTGTAATTTTTAGTGGGTAGCAGTTCTTTAAACCACGTCTGTTTGAGGACTGGTTGGTTCTCGGCTTTATTAGCATTAGGAGCCGGCATTATGTGCCTTTTAAGCGGTGCCTTGTTAGCAACGTGCTCGAAAATGAGGCGAAGCGCAATTGATAAGGTTTTGGGACCAAAGCAGTTCGATGGATATATGACACACAAGGGCAGCATTAATTAAGGCAACAAGCATGGGCTACCCATTATTTTTAATTTCTACTAATTACAATAGCTTTGTTTTTATGAATACGTATGTGGAGGACTGTGATTATAGATTGAATCAAATATCAACTAATACAGAGAATATATTTATAGATACTTACTTATAAAGTAACATATCAAAGATTCGTCGTTATAATCCACTTCTCCAATATGTGTGGGAGAATAATAGAATGAAATGTAAATATTATAGGATGAAAGTAAAATAAACTACCAACCTTTTGTTTCTATTACATCTATATCTAGGTATACAGGGTGGTGACTTGCGTAACGCATCATAGGGATTTCAATGTAGGTAGGTAAAATTCATAACATGCGATTATTGGCTCCCCAAATTATTTTAGAGAAAAAATGTATTAAAGTTTTTTGTAGAAAAAAAATTGTTACGCCAATCAACCGTATTAGTTTTCAATTTTTTTCATATACACAGACGGAAAATTGGAAAAATAAAACCCGCATCTTTTTCAATAATCTGCGATGCCATGGAATTTTCTAAAACAAAAAGATCCAGTTATCAATTTACAGCAGTTCGAAATGGATGATCGACTTGATTACTGTCTTGCAGTTAATGGTGACTTATTTGAACATTTCTTGTAAATTGTTATACCTATTAGCACAGACAATATGTTGTCTGTGCTATTAGGAAACCGTTTTTAGTAATTTGGTCTTCCTTTATGTTGAATTCGCTGTTCTAAATAATATAATACTTTTTGATAGAATTTGATTTGTTTTATAGCAGACATTCCATGGCATGACGGATATTGGCGTAGTTTTTGTATTATAAAATTCCATGGCATCACAGATTATTGAAAAAGATGGGGGTTTTATTTGTCCAATTTTCCGTCTGTATTGAAAAACATTGAAAAGATTGACGTAAAAAATTTTTTTCTACAAAAAACCTTAATTTATTTTTGGTCTAAAATAATTTGGGGAGCCAATAATCGCATGTTATGAATTTTACATTGAAATCCCTATATGATGTGTTACGCAAGTCACCACCCTGTATAGTTCCTAGCGCATGTAAATACAACACGCCCATAACTATACTACCTGTATCATATAATATAAAGATTATTCATAACCCTTCTTTCCAATCTACTCCCTTTTTCTTTAAAGTAAAGGCAAAGATCGTTTAAGACGAGAACCCCAATACCGTTCCCTTTTTAAAATTAATATGTAGAAAAAATTATTGCAAGGCATAGGTATTTGGGGACAATAAATCATGAATCCGACTAATCGGGAAAATTCTCGTAGAATGTGTCTTCATATACAGGACCATTAACATAGTGCAGGAATGGCCCGAGAGCGATGAAATTGTACCGGATCTAAACGTTTTCATAAATTATGATTCAAAATTATCAAGTGCCCATACTAGTGGATGGTAATCGCGTTTGTCAATTTGGACGTTTGCTACAGAAAATAGTAGTAATTATCATTATTTTTCATTTGCCTATTATATGTCAATTATATCTGTCATATATGATATAAGTATATGAAGCAGTCTATTACGCCCAAGGGCATAATGAGAGGGCATAATGGATTGTCATCTCATTATGCCCTGAAACGGCCTGTCAAATTGATTGACGGAGTTATATTATGTCATCAAAAAGATGCAACTTGATTCGTATGGAGCACTTTAATGTTGGGCAAACAATAATCATGACATTTGTATATTGGAAATGCATTCTTTGGAATGATGAAAAATAAAATGTTGTATGCACCTCAGGCATTACTCAATATTTAACCCTCGGGCGACTTACAATCCCTCGGCATAAATATCGCCTTAATGCCCTTGATGCATAAATAACTATTTGCGTGCTTTTATGAATTCATAAGTGTTTTTTTTCACTACTAGCGTCTGATGACATGATTATTAACCTTTTTTCCACTTGTAAAGTAGGCTTTCTCGGCATTTGTTCAAAGTGGTTAATAATTTTTTATTATTAATTAGTAGTCAATAATGAGAACTGTCACGCTGTCACTTTTAGAAAACACAACCCGAAATTTCGCTCAATGAACGTTTAGACAAGTTCTCTAAAACGAATAATTGCCACCATTCGCAATTTCCAGAGAAATTACATACCTAAAATTATCACATTTTGAAAAAATTCGAACGAAATTACTCTTTGAAAATATCTCAATGACAGAACAAAATACGGCCTGTTTGACTTGTACTTCCACGTACTTGATTGACATGTTAAATTAAGAAACAAACAATTCTGTCCAACCGTTAACTCTCTTATCAATATAATATGTTAATTTAGAGGATTTCAAGTGCTAGTAGTGAAAAAATAGTATATATACCACGGTAGAGAAGTCTATTATTGCCTTCGCACCTTACACCCCTCGGCGCAAGCGCCTCGAGATGTAATCTTGGTGCTCAGGCAATAATAGTTGACTTCTCTACCTTGATATATAATGTACTATTATGAAAGCCGTAATGACACCCAATTGGTCATGCTAAATCTGTCATAATGACACCGTATCCTAGATTAACATAAATAAACCACTTCCTTAGATTTATGGAGAACGCTGTGTGGGTTTACGTGGCCTGAATGGGAGTCCGCAGGGAGGGTTATTAGCCCTACTGATATGGAAGCGTAGAGTACTTCAAGCTTTTGTTTATGTACCGTTACTAAATCATGTTTGTTTGTTTATTATGTATACAGGTGGTTACATATGGTTTTACATTGTTTTATTAAGTACTTATTTATGTATTCACGATACAAGTTTATTACCAGTAGTGTCAAGTGTGTTATGTTACTTTGTACATTTCGATTTAACTATTCCGTGAGGGAAGTATGTACCTAAGTACCTATTACAATCCGATTAATTCCTTCGCTGTAGGTATATATGTAAACTTTTTTTGCGGACCGCAGTTCTTGCGTTTTAACGCATACGAGAAAGAGTCGGGGGTCTCTAATTTGATGTTTCTCTACGTAGTCTATATAGGTACTCCGTGGAGGAAGTTCCTCATACAAATATAGTAACCAACATCATATAAAATGTAAGTGGAAAACATGATAAATCAATGTATTATAGTACAAAACATATTACACACACATGTATTCGAGATTCAGATAGTCTTTAATTATAAACAATATGCAATTACACACCAAGAAATAGGAGGTATGTAATATTCATCATTCTTTGACACACACTCCGCTTTGATAACTTTCTATCACTTGCAGCTATCAAGTGTAATTACGCTACAATTAAACGTTGGTTTAAAGCGTTACGCACACAACTTAAACATTTGATTTGTGAACGGTGTAATTGCGCTACTCATGAGTATAAGTGGCATATTTATATTGAAGGATATTACGTGCACTCTGTGCGATTAGGTAGGTGATATGCCACGTACAAATGGTAAGCAACATTTAAATCGTCATTTAAAAATTTAAAGGGCACCTCGAAAAATGCTGATTTTTAATTTGTGGTCAGTGTAATTATATCACGAATAGTAAGACTGTTTTAAAAGCATAAACGACGTAAGGGAATGTCTACGAGTTGTAAAGTTGTACGAGTTGAATGATAAATTCTGATCTTTATTTGCAATTAGAAAATTAAGTTGATTGCGTGTTCATGTTCACTCGATGTTTAAATAACTCGTTAAGATTTATTAGCGACTTCAATTGTTTGTGTATGAATCTTCATTTTTAGCGCATTTTTGCAAAATTTTTTTTTGTAAAAAGTAGCTTTTAATCTCACATTGGCTGGCTGGCTGGCTGGCTGGTCGGCTGGCTGGCTGGCAGTAAATGCGCGCCCGTAGAAAAACGCTTGTAAAAAGACAAGGAGTGTACATGTAACTATCGGGGCCGTGTAATTAAGAACGTTAGGGATGGGGCTACAAGATTTGGAGTCGACGACATCTGGACGCCATCCCCGAGCGTATTATACTAACCTGGAGATTTTTCAGTTTTTATCTATCTTCTTCTACAGTTTTTCTCCGATTGTTTTCAAATTGGTGTCGTCGGGAAGATCTTGTCAACGCGCACAACTCCTGCGTGGCGGAATTTTGTTTTTTTTTCCTAGGGGCGAAATAAACCACCTTTTGCGCGGCGCGCTTCGAGGGGTAGTCGACTTTGGGCGCCCAAAAGTTTCTTACAGCGCGAATCGCGGTCTCTCTTTCTCGTGTCACTAATAGAAGGTCGAGCTATGTGAAGTACCCAAAAGTTGAATACGATTTTATGCCGGGATTTTAGCGAAATCTACCAAAATGTGAATTACGAATGAACGGGACGTCGGAACTGTGTATCGACAAAGGGAATGTGGTAACCCCCGACGAGATCTTACTGATGGTGGAGTCGAAACTTCAAATCCGAATTGTTGCGGGTGATCAGAAGTGGGTGTCGACAAAGGGAATATGGTAACCCCCAAAGGATTTTAATGATGGTGGAGTCAAAACTTCAAACGCGAATTGCGAGTGCACGGTAAGTGTGAAAATGGTACCGACAAAGTGAACGTGGTAGCTTTCGGCAAGATCTTATTGATGGTGGAGTCAATATTGGCTAATAAAACACTGATCTGCCACACAAAAATGCGCTGAAGTCCCTTCGATCTCACACGAGGACTTTGATCATTTTTTTAATGTCTTCAAGTGCAGAGGTAAATGCCGGAGTGTTAAAATTACTTAATAACGGCCTTCTTCTCGAAATATAACTGTAGTCTTAAGGTTACCGTATCCAGGACCTTCAGATGCCTTCTGGGCTGGAAAAGATCCGGCTATAATTAACAATGTACCTATTTCATATGTACCTACTTATGTAATATAAAGGTACATAAACAAAAGCTTGTAAGTACCTACACGCCACGCTTCAATATCAGTAACAGTAAGTATATTTTATGTACAATAAACAATAAATTGTGACAAAAAATTCTAATGTAAATAGACTTTTCAACCCAAAATAAACACTAGACCCGCCATTAGTAAAACCATTGAATTTATAACTATTCAATGGTAAAACTCAGCTCTGCATTCGAATGCAGTTAACTTTCTCCCTAATATGCTTCGGTATTAAAATCCCCTGGTCTTCGGCGTTTGCGCAGAACGGTCGAAATCGCCTGTTTTAAAATAATTGTTTTATAAGAGGGAAATCTCTTTGGGTGAAAGGAATCAAAAGTGTGTTTAAGTTAGTCTTCATGTAACAATCAGTTAGTATTGGCATTGACTAATATGGGGGGATTATTAGTCAGATTATTTTGTAAATCAATCCGTTGGAGAGACACCTAATCTTTTATTTTATAAGCGTAATCATATTATTGGTACTTTTCAGATTTCCAACTTGATCAACAACAAACAGGCTGTAGGTATTTTTCAAACAAAATTCTCAACAAACTTCTAAGTGTGAAATGGAAACCTTTTGTAGTTATTAATTTATTTGCAAAACAATTAAATATTTAAAATAACCGAAATATACACATTATTTTATTGATTAAAGTACAATATACCTAAAATATAAATTAAGCTAGAACAAAAAAAAACAATGTGATAGTGGTGTGCCAACTATGAAATGAAAATTCAAGAAGATTATTTTACAACAGCCTAGTATCTAAATGTAATAAAAGAAACACTGGTAATTTACGTTAAAGATACAAATTAGGCATTCTTCTACCATCTTTAACTTGAGAAACATTGTGAGGCATGCGTCGTCAATATTCAAATGTTTAAATAGAATGACGAAGCATAAATTAAAAATAAAATTGATTTAGCAGTCTAAGAAGTTGGCGGCCATTAATAGTTCTAAGGCAATCTCAGGAGCAATGGGAAATTCTGGAATTTCTGTCGAGCTGTTGGTGTAACGAACTTTATACGTAAAATACATGCAAACTTTTTGAAGCACGTGAGACCTAAAAATGACACTTTCATACCTTTAACTTTAGGGGGACTACTTACGGGATTTCTCTAAAGTTCACTTCGTTCGCTTCGTTTTCTGCAAATTGTCCTGGACCACTAAGCATGGCTTTAATGGTACCTGAAGTCAAAGCGTGTTCACGCTTTACAATAAATTCATGGCCATCCGACGATATAAGTTTGACGTACATAGCGTCTGGTCCCTCACAGCCCCCGTACACACGTTCATGTTTTTCGTCTCCTAAATCTGTCATTTCTGAAAATTTTCGTTTCAAGGTTGTAGACTTATCTACGTAATGATCTGAGCAAATTAAAAGAAATAGATTGATAATTGCACCCTTTAAACCCACAAGAATATCGAGAAGTATATTTAAAGAGAGTAAAGCTTGATCAAGCATCAAAGGTAATGACTGCAATAAGAGGTTAGATTTTGCGTGCAATAATTAGCGATATAGCAATAAATTAGTGAAATTGCTTAAAAAAATAATGGTTAAAGATGTTAAGCACTTACTTTAAGAATTTTGGGAGAAAAATATTAAATGTAATATAATTCTAACCTAATTGGTTTTTGTTCCAATCGGAACTGAACCAATTACCAATGTTGCCAACGGTGTTGTTATCGGTAAAAAGAAATACAGGCCGTTCAACACAATTAAATTGCATACAGCGCGTTCCGGTAGAAACGAGGCACCAAGGATTGATTTTGACGTAAAAATGTCAAATGTGCCCCCTGAAAATGAAAATTAAAGTTTTCCGCTCGATTACGATATGTAGATGGAATTCTAAAGCAAGAAGAGGTTTTGACCACCAGGGTCGATGTTCACCTTCAAAATCGGTACATACCCACATTTATGATTCAACCAGGCTGAAAAACCAGAAAACTCTTTTTGGCTGCGATTTCGTATTATGATCGGAATCACCTTTCAGTACTTCGACGATGTGGCAGGAGTATACACGAGCACTGAGGTATCTGCAAAGGCCACGAAAAATGCCCAAATCCGGAATACAGTCAACGAGAGTCTATTGAATCTTTGCTAAGGGAACCCGAAGCGAAGAGGTCTTCCGAGAAGTAGGAGAACTGGCGTGGTTAAGTGTTAAGTCTTACGTCTATCCCCACATCCCCCTTTTTACAGTTCCAGTCTCTGAGGTGGTTTGATTAGCCTTCCAAATGAAGTGGTTTTACTTGTGTACCTTACTCGATCCTCATCTGACAAGCAACACATCAAAATCCATGTATTTTTTTGTGAACTTCACATGCACATATTATTCTTTATCTAGATAGGTACTGTATGAATTATTGATTGTTTATAGCTATTTTTTCTCATTTTGTTTTTCGTTTCTTTATTTTGGCCAAACAAAGACATTGTTTTTATTGCTATTGATATTATTAATAGTAAGCAGCAGTGGGTAATTTAAGATGCATATGAGGTGTGTGGTCTTGCAAAGTAGTAGAGTACGTACAACACTATCATGGATAGCAAGTGGTCCTAATATTTTATTAAGATTGTGGTGTTTTTATTATTTATAACTTATAAGTAAGTATACTCTTTGCCCACTGTGGTTTGGTATTGAATGAAAGCCAATCAAATGGGAAATGTCAACTAAAAATAAAGTGATAGGAACCATTCTTTCGCAAATCATTACCAATATTATAAGATTTTAATTTTAATCACAGTTAAAAATACAGTTCGGGTACAGAAAGTTCTATTAAAACGAAAATTCTGATGCTATCTAAATGCGTCAACAATTGCATTGAAGTTATCTATTTTCGTTTGTATCTGTATGCGCTCCTGTTCGAACATAAACGAGGTGGATTGCAGTAATCGACGATCGTGCTCCAAATTTCGTACTTCACACTGGTTTACGTACACTGCTTCCCTCCACTTCTTCAAAGATTCCCTTAACGATTTCAGTTCGGCGTCGCAATCTAAAAGAAACAGTTAGCAGTTAAGATATACAGATCTGTCAGCGGCAAGACGAAATGGTAATATGAGAAAGTGGGTTACAATGAACCATTGAGTTATGCATTAAATGTATTTCAAGGCGTTTGCTTCTTTTTTAGATCGTGATGCTTTTTTAATGGATGAGAAAGATCAAAGAGCGTGTAATATTAGAAATGACTGCCGGCTCAGAAAGTATACTGGATAGAATTTGGGGAATAACAAATACTTTCAGCTCGCACATGGTATTGTGTTAAGCAATAAACAGGGAATTCTTCAAGCCCATGGTAAATTGGGGGTGAAATAATAAAAAAATCAGGTAATTTTTAATTATTTGTGTTAATTATCGAGTAACATACCTTTAATGTGTAATTGGTAGGATTCTATAAATTTGTGAAGACCAGCCCATTTGGTGGTATCCTCATTCTTTGCTGCATAACTTTGATCATTTTTTGCGTATGGTGTATCTTGAGTGATTGTACATTGTGTACCTTTATTTATCATATTAGTCTTCAGACTGCTATTACTTACATGATCTGCGAGCGCTCCCTGCGAAATTGTTCGATTATCGACTAATATCATAGTGAGAGGCATCACATAGTTTGGTTCTGTCTGACTATATCGACTTATTACATCTTTACAATTGACCGAGTTAGTTATCACGTACGGTGTCTTTAAGATTACGTGCGATGCATCCGATTCCTCCATTACATTGCACGATTTATGCTTTCCGGAGTTTCTAATCATGCTTTGGCAAATACTAAATTCTTTGACTTTTTTTAATTTCTTCTTGTTTTTGACATTAAGGCGTGTTAATCCGGAGTGGTTGAAACCATTTTGTTTTAGTTCGTAACTTTTCGATCTGTTACTATCACGGTTACCATTAAAATGGTGAAAATCGAATTCTGTCTTCACTAGCTTGGGGTTAAAATCTTGTGACATAACTGAAGGATCTGGGCTGTCTAGTATGGGCTCCTGTTTAATTTGATCTTTCAATAAAAATTTGGTTGCACCATTTTGGAAAATTGATTTCTGTGAACTGTTATCACACTTATTTTGCTCGAATTGTTGCTGGGTCAAATTTTCCGATTTATGTGTGTCCATAGGGATAGTTGGCTCATACTTCTGAGAATGGTGTATGCTCTGAACATAAATTTCGTGGACTTTCAAGTAATATTCTGATAATGAAGATGCACAATTTCTCTTAGTCCTATCTTGTATTACCTTTAACCAGTCCATTTCGTAATCTGAAATTCATATCAGTTTCGTTACAAAGATTGTCATACGTATTTTAGACAAACATCTAGGTACAGGATGGAATTAAACCACTGATTTCTTGTTAGCTAAATTACAAATATTAATACTGTGTTTTTATGACAGAGGATGAAGAGTTACTCATTTGATAAATGTCAAGTAAAATGAGGGTAAATGTGGTCATCTCACAGTATGTCGTAGGTGTCGTTAAAAATGTGGTAGTTTTTCATTTGCTGCAAATTAGTAAACTAGAGAAGCCGTTTGTCTGTCCGTCCGGACCCACTTCTGTGGTTTGGAACTAGATTTAAGGGAATTGTCCTAGAGTCTTGAAATTGGCTGTCAAATTTTGTTGTCTTAAGGAGGTGGGGGTACCCCCCAGAAGTTATTTCCCGAGATGGTGTTTCTGAAAGTAAAACGTGCATAACTTTTACATGCGACAACCAATTTGGGGGGATATCTAGAGGCGTTTTAAGTTTAGCGGCGCTTCATTATGAAGAAAGTATTCCCATCCATCATTAAACAGGCAAAGTTGCGCAAATTAAGGAAAATATCAACGTGATAGGGAGACCCGGCCGTTTGACCTCACATTCCAAGGAATAAAAGGCCATTGCCGGACTCCCGAATTAGGGATTTCATTCCGAGTATTTGGATAAGTATAATTATAGGGGAATGGGTTACGGATAACCGCCTCCGATCAAATCATATCCATTACTTGCGCTCTCAAAAGCCTTGAATTTTGACACCGACCCCGTATTTTTAAGACGTCTAGTACGGATGTTCCGTTTTTTTTACCTTCAGTACATTTCATTACTGTTTATTTTTGTTTATGTAAAGAAGCACAGTTGGTGCGCGAGCTTTAGTTTATATAAAGCATAGCTTTCTTTCGTGACTGTTTTACGAGATGAGTGAATGAGGGGGGGGGGGGGTTATAAATCGGTTTCATCTTTCATGGTATTCTGGTATTCTAATGAAAAGTATCAACGAAAGGAACTGTTTTCTATGAACTACCCCCTCCTCTCTCACCCCTTATCAAAATGGTGGGTGAGGCGCGGCTGATCTTTCATGCCACTCTAATGAAAGATCTCAACGAAGGGAATTCATTTCTACCCTTATCGTAATTAGTTAAAATTGGTCATATTTCAAGAACGGAGTGTCAGAGGTTCATACTAACAATAAGCTATCTATTGCTGCGGTTGAAACGAATAACTCGAAATCGAAGTGTCTTCTTGCATTATATAGCGTGCATTTTGAATGTGTTTCAGATGGCTTTTGCATGTTTATGTGTAAAAACTACCCCTTAATCATATACCAAGAAGGAACGATAAATATAGCTAGCTTAAGACCCAATTCATATGGCAGTTTAAAAAACTAACGCGTGCCTCTCGCTTGCGCTCTTCCCTTTAGGAAAAAATCCCGTAAAAGCAATAGTGTAACGAAGACCTCAGTTTTCATACCAAGATTAATGACCACACCGTACATTTTGAAATATATCAGCTTTAATGAACACCCGGTATCTAGAGGCGCTTCGTTACGAAATGTGTTGTTCCGGAGTAGGCATGGGAATTTTTTCGATATATCGATAGGTATCGATAGTTATCGATATATCGAATAACAATAGGTAGAGCTAAAAAAATCGATATATCGATAACTATCGATATATCGATACTTATCGATAAGTATCGATATATCGATACCTATCGATATGTCGATAACTATTGATAGATCGATATGTCGATAACTATCGATATATCGATATGTCGATAACTATTGATATATCGATATGTCGATAACTATAGATATATCGATATGTCGATAACTA